CAATTCTATAGCCTTTGTATTTATACATACATACATACATATGTACATAGGTATACTTGACTTAAATATGTGCATTTATTTAGAACAAACTTCACCTACTTCGGGATAATAAAAAATACAAATTTTAACATGCGTAAAATGTTCAATGTTTTTTAAACAAATGATATGTATGTATGTATAAATATTTTCAATAATAAATGGAGCAATCCAAACAATCTACACATGCATACGTGACTGAAAGAATATTGAAGTACTACAAACATAAAATAGTGCGCCAATCCCTTTTAGGAGAGGTAAATCCTTAAAAGCTATTTGCAATCACATCTGAAATAAACTCTTTTGTTTTTAGCTTCATTGTAGGGGATAGAGCACTGCAACCTTAAGATCTATTGCACAGTATTCGTGCATTTATAGTAATGGGCATAAACGTCTAGATTTTACCGCGCCCTCGGTTATAGGAAGATCACCCAACAGGACACTGTTGTAAAATATACCGTACAGTTGTGCTATCTGTTCTACAAAATCTGCATCGCTTCTGGACATAAATTCTCAGTTCAGTCAGGTGATAGCTTAGTATTCAATTGCTTAAAGAAGTTCTCATGTTAATACTGAAATTATTTCTTGATAAGCTCATGCACCCCTTAGAGCGTCTTTTAATGCTCTAGGCCTGGTTCATTATGCCAGTAACGATTTTTGTGAGCACCTTTCCCTTGTTTTCTTCCTTCCCTTGCTCTTGCTTTCTTTATCGGCAATACTATTTCCTTTAATAACAATCTGTTGCGAAACCCAGGGAACCCAAACCCGATTGGTCAAACCAAGTGTTTTCGGCTTATAAAGTTACCCAATCACCTGTTTAGATCTGATCTAATGAGATCTATAGACTTTAAAAGCCCATGGGCTATCAGTTAAAATATTCAGCTTTCGGTTCGTCTTATAATGCCACCAAAAATCCATCTACAATGCGAGGCCTCAACCTAATGCAAAATATGCAATTCCGACGCAAGCACACGAGCATGCACTTATTGGAGGCAGAACCCAGGTACGTCAGAAGGTAACCACTGAATTCAGCGTCGTACTGAGAGGCAGTTAAAGACATTAACATAGCGGCTATTACCAACTTCACAAACTCGTTCCCCGTAAATGCCGTTCTCGGGGTTCCACCGCAATACGTTGTAGAGAAAGAGCTTCAGGTGTCTGCAGAAATCTGCTTTATTCTGCAGAATTATGGTATACGTATTGTGGCGTGTTAAACGATGACCTTTTTCGAATCGACTCCGATGTACCCAATGTATGGCTCACACTTCCCTTCTTCTTCAAATTCTACTTAAACCCACTCCTCTAATATCTTTCCCCTTTTCGTTCAAACAAGACGAAGCCACACCTTTGCTAGGTCTATTGTAAGTTTAACTTGAGGAGGCGAACCTGGTAAAGATTGCGTCTTTATCTCTACCCAAGCCAGGAAATAAAAGTGTAGCTCTTTAATTTAACATGGAGGTTGAGTGTGAAAGACAGGTTAAGAATGCCCTCAGCGCCTTATACGCGTGCAGATTGGTTATTAGAGCACTAATGCTCTATGGTGTCTTGGTATAATGCGACACAAAAAAGTCACATCTAAAGGTGAGATATTGTGCAAGTACTTATGCAATAATTTATTACTAGGCCATTGCGCATCACTTTCTCAGCAAATCTAGATACAATTTTAAACCTGTATCCCATAAGTTGGGTTAAGAAGAATGCGGCTGCGATATCGGGACAAATTCTAAAAAATTCTAAGAACGGAAAGTTAGATTAAATTTCAGGCATTCGTAACCAATAAAGTATGCTTTGGCGCTTTAGCGGTTATATGACACAATAGCCTTACAGTTGCTCATACGCCCCGGCAAACAACCGGTAAAAAAAATTCCTTTCAGTGCGAAAGCTATAAAGTATGTTTTGGTTAGCTGTTTTAAGTAAAACAAATGAGATTATTTAAAGTAAGATATGTATTATTTTTAATGAGGTTAGTCGCGATATTTTTTTTTTTTACATTTTATACACATCCTCTAATACTATGCGACAATTTTTATGGCAACTGGAGCCAGCCCGGACTTTGCTAATGTTAAAAATAAAATAATAAATAAAAGTGATTAAAATAAATATGTGAGCGAAAATAAAATTTAATACGTATACAGTAAAATTTTATGGAAAATATTTTCATATGTGGAACATCTTAACCCACCTAGAAAGATCGTTTTGACCCTTATTTAAAAAAAAAAAAAAACCTTGAAAAAACTAGAAACTCATTCTGCGCAATATTTTACTAGGGTCTTCTCAGGCAAAAATTCATATAACCATAGTAATATTCTATACCAAATTAAATAAAAAATGTATGCCAAGAAGGAATTACAGCCAAATTCAATTTAAAAAAAAAATCGTAGAAAAAGTAAAATTTTTTTTGCTATTTCGAAACAGTTACGAAACTTGGACAGAAAATCGATCATATAGTATTTTATAGAGGGTCGAAAACTTTTCCAAAAAAAAATGTTTTCTCTTTATTGGATCAATTATTTTGATAGCGCTGCTGCAGAAACGCAATTAGCAACTTCCAAACTTTCTAGATACTGACTTTAAGAAGATTTAACATAACTTTTTAAAAACTTGAATTTTGAAATTTCGGAAAAATCAGAGACCCTAAAAACATATGTATGCATGCTACAAAATGTAGAACTCCAACGACGCCTTCTTACTTTGTCCAAGTATTTTGATTTTTTGCAATTTCGCTTCCTCAACCTTCAAGTAGAAATAAAAAAGCATAGAAGCGCTGGACTACGCATTTGTTCAGTAAAAATTGTCAGTAAGACATTTTTTTTTTCAAAATTATGCCATAGTTATTCTGCTGCAAACAAATTAAATTTATTGGACTATTATTTTTGATCAGAGCTACGATCTTTACCAAGTCACTCAAAACGTTCATTTCCCTGTTCAACTCATGGTTTGCACTTTTTTATTTCACATACGAATACATTCTACTGTACAACTGTACAACATTTAAGATTAGATGTTTCAGAAAATATATTTTTACTATGAATATTAAGGGGGAAATTAGAAAATGTAAATGCTAAAAGTATGTTCACAAATTTGTGTACTAGCCCAGTTTACCATAAACATTCCATAAATATGAATTTAAATTTGGAACTCGCCTTCAAGCTACCCACACAAATATTTTGCAACATATTTATGTACATGCAAATTCATGTTTGTAAGTATGTGCTAAATTCCACTTTCATTGCGTAATAAAATTCCTGTATGTAAATCAAAACAAAACAATTTGGAAAGTTTTCTGTATGTAGTTTACTGCATTCGCTCAGGGACTAAGAAATTATCTAACAATGTCAACATAGATTCACAGGCTTACACATTTATGTGCATATGTACATTTATAGGCGAATAAAGATTATGTACACCCTGCAGCGAAAATCTGTACTAGTGAGGAAAATTTTTAACTTTATTTACGTATGTATATCATTGTTTTATCGACAATGCAGAACAATCGACATTAAAATGTTAGTAGCCGAACAATATATAGATTTTATTTGAAAAAAAAAAAAACTTTTACTTTAAATTTTTTTTACTTTCCACTATGAAATATAGTAGCGAATTTTACTTTACCCTGAAAGACTGAGCTGTAAAAAAATAGGCGTATAATCAACAGAGAAACTTGTTTGGGCAAGCAAATACTGAGGACTCCTGCAGATTTGGCTCTTTTAGGTAACCTGATTAAAATTTTTAATATCGGAAAAAACCATATAATCGAATACCAGATTAAAAACTCCAAATATCAGGATATCGGAATATTAACTGGATATCCGACAAATAAAATGTGTGAATATTTTTTATATGTGTATTTATTTTATTTACCGGATATTAACGGGATATGGACCAGGCAACCAGATATCTGGATTTTATCCATATACACAATTACTCGAAAGAATATCCGGATATCCGAATACAGTATACTCTGATTTACTTGTAAGTTTGTTTGGATCCGCTAGGTGGCGCTGGGATAGAAGGCGAATTTCTGTAACTATGTATGACAAGTAATTTTTAAGCAAAAAACAATTGAAGTCGGTAATTCTCATATAAAAAATTAAAATCGTTAATGTCTTCATTATCCAATGATCCGATCTAAACCAAATTAGTATGGCACGACCTCTGAGGTAACACCTTTCCTTAAAAAAAAACATTATACAAATCTGTTAACGAGATCGAATGTTATGCGGTAACTTACATAAAAAAAATGAAAAATATTCGTACGAATTGATAACCTTCTGCTTTTTGTGAATACGGTTACAAATATGTAAGTAACATAAAATAAGATGAAAATAAATATTTTAACTTTCGGAAATCGGTATGAACGGGGATCGAAACTGGGCCCTCATGTATTGTAGTAGACAGCTGTCACCACTCGGCTATAGTGGATGCCAAACTTACTTACACTAATAAAGAAATGCCTCAAACCGTTTAGCCGATTTCATAACAACGTAACATAACATAACATAACAAGACAAAGCATTAGATACATGTGGATATTCTCGAGCTCTGCTACTGACACGACTCCAAAATTAATGCCAGCGCTGGAAAATTCAGCCTCGATGCCGAAAGGTCCAATAACTTTCCCGACTGTTTAAAAAATATGCCAAGATAATTGAGATGTTGGCCGATTTGAAATACCTCCGTAAATTCTCTTAGAAAATTAAGCGGCTGACGGAAGATCTGACCAAATTTCTGTAGGAACAAACACGATGACCCATGGCCGATGTCCAGGGTGTGCTAAAGTTATAGATGGAAGGGATTTAGGAAAAGGAAGGTCTTCTAGTCCTAGGCAAACTAGATGGAGAAAGACCCGGCATTGCCACCTGCCATCAGCTGACACACAAAATTACTCACTGCTATGCTTTAATAAGACTCGTCCAAAATCGTTTAGACGACTATAGTGCCAAATATGAAGAGTGTACAACCCTTCGTTTGCCGTTTCCTGCTCTAGCAAAAACGCTAATTTTTGTAGAATCTTTAATAAAGATTTCTTTCTATTTTTGGCTGGCTTTAACTCTGAGGAGTGTCACGTGACCTTCACCACTTCTTTAAGACAAGAATTTGCTTCAACCATAAGGGAATTGGGGTCAAACTGCTATTCATAAGAATGTCGCTTGGGGCATAGTGGCAAACACCACAATCTAACTTTTTCTGGTTCTACTTAAGATATTGGCTCTGATTGTTTAGAAGCTAATTGTTTTCCTACAGGGTCATCATATGCATGACTTTAGTTCACACATGTTGTACTAGTCTGAGTATAGTGTGAATATTTTCACTGGCAGCTATGTTGGAGATTTTACAATAGCTGAAAATATTAATGAGTATTGGGAAGTTAGCTGCAGCTGCTTTGATAGCTGAGTTTACACACATATGTATATATGCATGAACATGCATTCTTACAGATTTAGAATTTGAAAGTGGTTAGAAATTTTACAAGTTTACAACACAAACAAAAGTTTTCTTAGATAAACAAATGCAAGATTTGACTGAATATGAGTAAACTCCATGCTAAAGATTTTGTAGTCTCAAAGCATGTGTTTGAATGGGATTTGGGGAGGTATATGTAATTTATTGCTTATTTACAAACATTCATATGTATAAGGACTATGGAAATTTAAGTTCAAGTTTTTGTCTAAAACAACCAATTTAATTTCACCAGTTATTGAGCATACTTAGAATGATCCCATTTACGACTTAAGAACATTCAAAATTGTAAGAAAAAAATTAAAAAATGTATACGCTCAAGACTAAAAGCCATTTCTTCTCATTTCTTCATTAATAGATTCAGCCAAATTTAGCACAATTCTTTTAAGCCACAAAACTTAGTTTCGCACCCAAATATTTTCTCTGACACCCTGATGTACATGAAACACATTCAGGCGAGGTCTCTAACGAAGTAAATAACCAGGAAATAGACTTAAAGCTATAGCGCTGATATAGGCCTGTTTGTATGTATAGAAGTACACCATACTCGCGGTTGCGCTCGCGCGAGTTACGGTAGATGATACTCCACCTAAACAGGAAATGAACTTAAAAAATAAAGCAAGCATATTTTAAGAATGCTAACGAAATATGCTTGCTTAGTAAAAATTGTAACCGAACTCAGCATTCCAAGGTTATAAAGAAAATCAAATCATTAAAAAGAGATTCATACATTGTTGCAACCATAAGTACTTCTAATCATGGTCTTAAACATACATATTTACATATATGCAACATTGTTGCAACCATAAGTACTTATGGCATTAAAATTAAATATACATATGTACATATATGCAAAGCATATATGTATGTGCGAATGCCCATCTTACTGTAGGCAAATGAAACTAAAGCCGCCGTGGCTAAGAAAACAACTGCAATGCTATGGCATGGCAAGTATTGAAAGCAAAAGTATATGAATAATTACAGATTGGAAATAAGAATAATGCTGAGTTAGGAATATTGATACATATGAATATATTGTAATATGTACATACATACAAAGAAATTAGGAGTGTATGGATTATGTACCACATACCAATAATTAAGAATTGAGAGAAACGACTTTTAGAATTAGCGAACCAAAAGTCAGTTGTTGCCTGACCGTTTTGCGTTCAAGTCTACTTGTTACAAAAGTTTCTTGAAATAAAATTATATTACTTTTTAATAAACAAGAGTACAGAAAGTCCTTGTTTCATTTTGTATATCCTTTAAAGGCGAATGTTCCTGCCCAGTATTCAGTGAAGCCACTGAAATATATAACTCGCGCTCGCATAAGCAAACACAAAAATAACCAAACAAAAATAGCAACAGCAGCTTCCTGGTGCAGGGAATATCTTATGCACTATATAAGCATTTCTATAGTTACACATGTGTGAGTGGAAGTACATACATATATACGAGTAACTCCACTGCCGAAGGATTTTTTAATTTAAAAATAATATGATCCTATGCTATGCGAAGTTCGTAGCTCTCGGGAAGCAAGTGAAAAAATTTCGCATGTACAACATGCAACAGTAGGCATGATAATAAAATTAAGTTCTAGTTCGCTTACGAAAAATCATAACTTTGTAGTTTTTTTTATTTTATTTTTATCTGCGTCTCATTAAAATTTTTGTTAGCATCGCTGTCATCCTGGAATACCCCAACATTACAAACTTGCCGTATTTAAACAAGTTAACACATACGTTTCTAAATATGTGTATACTTTTACTTATCTCTCAGCTTCGCACTCAGACATCAAGCGCTTCGCCTATCTACCTGACTCATAGCAAAAGTAGATGCGAATGCCGCAAACAAAATATGAGAATGAAAAACCCGACAACGTGCTAAAAATTAGCATAGTTATAGGAGTTGCACAGCACGATATGCGGGCTATAACAGTTAATCCTTCTGCAGTGCGTGGAATTTTCCCCTTCCTATAATGTTTTTGGGTCATTTCGACCCAATAATAGAAATTAGTAAATGCTACCAAAAAAACGATATTTCAATTTGAACTCAGTTAATATTTTATTTATCGCATGAAGACATTTTATCGGCAATTTCTGTATGCTTACCGGTTCAAAGGTGGCCTTAAATACTAAATAAGAATTTGGGTCAAAATGACCCAAAGACACTATGGATGTATGGAAAAACTGTGTTGCCTTTTTTGCAAAACCATAGCTGATTATGCCTTTAACGAATAGATAGTGCCGCAGCTTATTTAAAATTACCTAACTCTGGAAATTTGGTCCTTTTGACTGACTCATTGCAGAAGGGTTAACAAAAAACTGCAACAAAATCAACAATAACAGCAACAAAATAGAATAAAACAAAAGAGCCGACTAAGTTATAGTGAAATGAGGTTAGCGCGAAATCGTAGGCAATACAGCAGGAGCATACAGAGCAGGTATGTACATATGTATGTAGATGCAAAGCAAAAGAGAAAGTATCCCGGTTTGTGCTAGGGGACTCAAAAACAGAGAGTGTGCAATTATGATAGATGGTCGCGGTTTATATCTGTTTACATATGTACATACCATACATAGTGAAATAGTAATTTATTTTGTAATAATGAGCTCTCGATAGTGACTCAATACATGAGTTTATGAATTTATAAATTTTACAAATTGTAGGTTTTTAAACCCTTAGTTTAATTCGAATAAAAATCCGCGTCTGTTAGATCACAGATCGTCTCATATAAAACCAAGCATAGGACTCAATTGGTGACACGTCTTATTCCAGCTCGGGAGTTTCTTCTAATATTAATGTTTATTGCCACTTCTGGAAGATTACCTTTAGCCATAAAAGCCTATTCCACTCTTGCGAGGCATATAAAAAGTCGACATTTTTTAATGTGAACATGTCCTTATAGCTTGTTGTTTTCAATAAATGAGATTATAGGTTTTAATAGTAAAACTAAGTTTTATTAGTAGTTTATATCCCAAAGTTGAATACTATTTGAAAAATAGGGCATAAGTAAATACATTTTAGCTCACAGATTGCCTTATGAATCAACTACGCTTCGAATATGTACGTCAAGGCTTTAGTTTACTCCTAGATATAAGAAGCTTCTAGGGTTAATCGGTCTACTTGGCATAGATATATTACTTCCAGCCACAACATGAGGCTCGTTGCATCAAGTAAATATCTTTACTAGCAAGTGTATCTTCAAAGGTTCGTACGCTTTTCGCACCAAACCCTTCCAATGGAGTGATGATACGAGTAGCTCTCTGAAATAATAAATGCTAATATCAGCACATCAGCGCAGCATTTTCCAATTTAGAAAAAGAACCGAATCATGTTCGTCTAGCAGAGAACGAGGACAAGACAAAGTACCTCCTGGCAACACCTAAAACATCCTCTCTTAGTGGGACACACGCCACCGTTTGGCAGCAGTTATAATTTTGAAGCTGCGAAGGAGTTCGTGTAACTAGAATCCAGCAGAGAATCCTAAACAAAAAATTTCTTGTATGCAGTCCCTTATGAAACTATTACTGTTGATAACCATCGATGATAAATAATACGTTCAGCCTAAAAAAAAAATAGCAAAGGTGGATCCCATCAGATCGTCTTCTAATCAATTTTCACAGCAGTTATTTGTTAGTTTTTTATTTGTTAGTATTTTGAGCCTAATCGCATCACACTGTAACACATTGAGAGTTAAAACTGGTTATTTACAGAACCACATTTGTAAGTCACCCATTCAGTCTTGGCCATCAGAAATCTGCAACTTTATGTGACAATATACTCGCCAAATGTTTGCTGAGCTGGCTTGTTGCCCATCTCTTCTGGAGTAAAACAAAAGTAGTTAAGAGAGCACGCATAAAAATAACTAGAAGTCTAGGTTTTAGCTTTAAATTTATTTAAGCATTTCCCCTGAGGGAGCTGAGAAAAATTAAAGACTACCAACTTAAAAGACAGCCACGTAGTTTGCGGAATATTTTTATTTTGAAACCTAGTACTGCATACTACCATGTTTCGGGCCTCAGCGAAGTCGACTAGTGTCAGTTGATTATCGGACGTTTCATCGTGGAGGCGGAATTTTCTCACAATGGGACCAAGGATCACATCCTTGCCCTTCCAGCTATTGAAATCGCCAAGCAGAATTTTGTAGGAGCAGATGGGAGCAGATGAGCGATGTGCTGAAGAATCTCGCTTTAATGCGGATTGTGGCTGGGTGCTCCCCTACCAAAAATCTAACAAACGAATTTTTCGATCTCTGATGTGCCAGGTTATAGCGGACTTGGCAACACCCCACGCATTTCTAGCTTTTTCCCGTCCATTGCATTTCTTGGATGGCAATAATATCAGCCTTTGTCTTGCAAAGAAGTTCCGGACATTCCAGGTACATGCCCTCATATCGTAGTCCTTAAACCGTTTGCCGCTTTCTGCATCAACCGGAAGGCGTCTTATTTGAGCGGGTCCTAATCACAGCTCCAAGGCAGATGCCCGCCTGTAACCGTGCCTCATGGCGAACAGATGCTCCTAACTTCAGCAACCCTTTAAACTGAATAACTTTGAGTTGCTGACCCATCCGAAACACCATCGCTTTCCTCCGGGACCCAAGGCTCCACTCGGTTGCTTACCGCATTTCACACGTAACCTGGAGTGCGCGATCGATGCAAGAGTCATGATTGAGTATGACGGCAACTGCATACCCAGAAGAACTAATACCACATTGCATTGCACTTTTAAATAGTTTATAGATAAGATAGCTATCACGGGTATACATCCCTCAACGAAGACTCTCAACTATTGGTAGGCAATTTGAATAGTTTTAGGAGGGACTGCGAGTTTGCGACATGCGGCATCACAATGCGCCCTGAGCCGAAGTATGTCTTATGGACGACCGCGAGAACACAATCTAAGTTAATAGATTAAAGAAATATCAAAATTTTTCATTTAAAGTTTGCGAAATACTTGCAAACCTTTCCTCCCTAAAGTTTTTGTTTGCTATTTTGCCAATTTTCCGATAGGTAACTTCCAAGAATATACATTTGCCTTAACTTAATATAAATTATCTAAAGTTTATTAAAAAAAAAATTAAAAATTTTTTTCAACTTTTATACATAAGTCTCAATATTCGGGACATATTTCCAAGCTATCAACTTATTGCTTAAAAGTTTGCCCATGCCATTAGCTAAGTAATTGCAAAAACATGAAACTCTTTTACACGGCAAATAAGTGCTTTATATAAAACTCTTGCATACTTTTGTGGCATACGAATCAGCAAGACTACGTGCACATGCGTTATGCTAACAACAACAACACAAACAACGAGAGCTGCGCAGATGCAAATCAAATACCACATTCCGCGCTAATAAATCAGGTTAGTTGCTAGTAAATAACAACACACATGTTTTACATACATGCATACATACATATGTACCTACATCGCTGTAAACAATTTCAATGCAAACTTATGAAAAATTGCACAACAAAGTTAATATAAAAATGTAAATAGTAATTCGCAAAGTAAGTGAGGCATACTTCCAGGCACTAGACAGCTATGAACGAATGGAAGAGCGAAGAAGGGTGCACCGCATACATACCTATGTATATGTAGATACGTACGAGCATGCATGGCTTTGCTGCATTGAAGTTTCGAGCACATTTGCAATGCATATTTTTAGGAACATATCTACTTAGGGCCAAGCACTCGCACTCGACTCTGCGCGACGATAATAAACTGCACAAATAGAAATCACTCATATGGCTTAGAGCAGTTCCGCGAACGAACGAACACATACGTACAGACATACAGGAGTACAGTG